CGTATATAATAAACTTCTCCCCTCCGGCTCCATGTAAACACATCGTTAGGTTCAAGCTCCAACGATCTGTTGAAATCGTTTATGGCATTACCGTACTGCTTAAGCGCAGAGTAGACTTCTCCTCTTTTACTTAGTGTCCATGCATGATCAGGTTCAATGAGCAGTGATTTACTGAAATCCGCTAGAGCAGCTCTGTCCTGCTTGTTGAGAAAATAGGCGGCTCCTCTTGTTCGGAGTACCCAAGCATTATCGGGTTCGGCTTTCAACGACTTTGTAAGATCATCTAACGCCTCCTCATGTCGGTCCAGCCAGTAAAATAGATGTCCCCTTTTTGTCAGAGCCCATATTTGGTTTGGTTCGATGCTCAATGCGCTATTGAAATTCCTCAACGCTTCATCATACTTGTCAAGATTGTAACAAACATCTCCTCTTCGGCTCAATGTCCATGCATGATTGGGTTCAATCTCTAATGATCTGTTGAAATCTTCTAGCGCTTTATCATAATAATGAAGCAAACGATAGACTTCTCCCCGTTTTCTCAGCGCCCAAACATCATTCGGTTCAATCTCTAATAATTTGTTGAAATCGCTCGATGCATTGGCATACTGTTTTAACTTGCAATAAATAGTACCTCTCGCTCTAAAAATACAAGCATTTTTTGGTTCAATCTCTATCACTTTTTTGAAATCGTTCAATGCCTTGTCGTAATTCTTAAGCCTACTGTAGACATATCCTCTTCTGCTTAATATCCATGCTTCAGCTCGACGACGTTTAAAAGTGATCTTTGACACACCTTTCATAATGCCGCTCTTTTTTACTTAGTATCTTACTGACAGTTGTCTAGTCAATGTTGGTAGACTCACTTTCCTGGTTTCTTGAACATTTTGTTAGGACATAATAGCTAAAAGAACTTGTGGGAAATTTACAATAGCATTTTATGATCGTCGATTATCATTATTGTTAACTCTTACACAAATAGACTAATTTGGACTAGTGTATAAGTGCGGAAACCGATATAGTAATCAACAATATGTGGTGCGTTAAACGCCTCTTTGCACCGAAGCATCATCATGTTCACTTTGGTTATTTAGTTTTTTCAATGAGGCTTGGTTACTCCTTTTTATTCGCTAATAAGCTTAGTGACCACATTTCTGGCTTTGATTATACTCACGGTTTGATCAGTCAGTCTAACTAATCAGATGTTAGTTACTATTACGTCATTATTGTAGCTATGCGTCTACTATAACTTAGCCTAATTTCGATAGTCCGTAGGATTCAACGGGTTTATAAAATTATACTGTATTTTGTGAGAATTAATTTTAGTTAGTTACGACTGAAGTGGTCAAGGTCCAATATTGTTAAATGAAGAATCGTACAAGTGTTGAAGGAGTATGTCCATGTCGGATTAAAGAGCGATACTGATGAGGAGGCGTCCTAACATCACCAACACTATTTCTCGAAGTTATAATTGTCGGGCAAATGATAATATTCGCTGAGGAGGAATTACTAATTGTCACACATGTTAATAATTTTATGTATCAGAGAAAACCTTATAACTGCTTGATCAGCTGGCCAAACAATTGTTTGTCTGTGTTGTCAAAAATCACAAAGTTACCGACACGGCAGGGAAGAAAAAAAATATTGACACATTGACACTTTAAGCACGTCTTCGATATTTCTGCCAGTTCTAAAGCGCAGAACCGACCCGGAAAAAAAACATATTGTATTAGCAGTCGTGACGGCATTGTAAGTAAAAATTTGGTGATTAGGTAATAGAAAATCGGTCATGTGGATTTCTCTGCGATAAGCTCGTTCAAAAACGGTGAATATCTCTGACGACACAATATCCGTTATATGGTATGTCTCTAGGCATTTACGCTTAACGATGATTTTGGGCTCGCTGTTTAGAAACAAGAGCACGAGAGTACCCATGGCAATGTCCTCATATAGCATACCTCTTCGTCTTGTTCTCTAGTATATTGGATTGGCAAATACTATTACTATTGATGACCCCATGCAGCCAATGCTTGGTATATACTGTGGAATACCATCTTCGGCGCATGTTTATTCATCCTCACTGAGCATACTCTTTCGAGTGTTTACCAGAGTGCTGTGTCAACTCAGACTTAGTATTAGTTCTCTTTGGTGTTGCATTTGAGATATGTCAACCATATGTTTTTCTACTATTTTATAGATGAGTTTTGAAAAGAGGTTGCACATTATGCAATTAGTCAATTCATTCAAGTGGAGTGTTGAGGGCATTCTGAGATAGTTGTTAAGAATCAAACCTCATCAAGCTACCTGCTGGAAAGTGCTTAACTATTAGTATTCTCAAGTCAATATTTGAAAGACAACCTGAAGTCAAATTACAAAAGTTTAAGCTTTCTGAAATGATTGTTTTTTTATGACAGAGACTACTACTTACTACTATCATTCTGGTACATACTAATACTCCAGAAGAGGTACATATACAGGACAAATGTGAAAGTCTGTGTTTCCAGCTGATAAGGTGATTGTGGTTGAGAATTCTATTGCAGTAAATGGTATGTGTTTATTATTATTTGATGTTTTGTTTTATCAATTATGAATTGACCCATGAAATTATTCACAGAATATGGAACTACAGTTCAAGAAGACTGCATGTTGCTTGCCATGAAAAGTGCACATAAATCATGAGAGACAATATTGTGTTGGCCACAGAAGTTGCAAAACGCCATTTGAGCATGAGAAATTCCAACAGTAAATCATTGTTTGTGTTCAATGTTGAATATACTGGTACTCAATTTCCTTGTAAGTGTCAGATTTACAAACAAACTGTTTCTGATTTTGTTCTATTGGAGAGATAAAAGTTAGGTTGCTATGGTCTCCAACTTCATATTATCTGCTCTGGATGAAAAGCTTAAAAACATATTGGAGTCAATTTTCACTCATACTCAAGAAACTGGTCCGCAGTTTTTTTTCCATTAACTGACCTGATTAACTCCCTTTACAAGACAGAAAATTAGCAGTAAATTCAAAACAAACTGTTACTGTGGGCAAATTTATGTTTAACTTTGATAAAAATTTGGTTGATATTCTCCTACTTTCTATAACATATTGATCATTAAGTTTTGCATAATGTTGACAAATATGTGATAAATTTGCTACAATTACAATACTTAAATTGGATTAATGGCAGATAAACATAGTAGTGTATTCCAAGTAGTGTAGCATTAATAAATATCAATTATTCCTAGAATAAGAAATAGAAAAGTAAGTTCTGCCATACCCTCTTCTATGTAACTGAGCAATATACGGGGTACTTTGTTGGGGCAACTCTGCATAATTCAACTTGGGTAAATGACATTAATAGTGTACTTTAAATTTAGTTGCCGAAAGCTACGGTCACGTTTATATCTGATACGCTCATAATTATAATAGATGTTTGATTAAATATGTAGCACGAGACATACATTCAGGTCTTAGATAACATTTTCCCTTATTCGTATTCAACGTCGACGCATCATCAAATTGTCATGTTGATTAAGATTATAATAAAAAAATCTTCTTTTTATCAACACGAATACGTTCCATCCATATCATATTCATTGAAAGCCAACAATAAACGAATCACTTGACCCCACTCAATTAGATTAATTAAAGTTCGACGCTTTTGTGAAACAAGTTAATTCTATAACGCATTAGTAATCGCTCATTATGGGTTGCTATTACCAAGACGAGGTTGTGTAATATGATTTATATTAAGCGCAAAAGTTTAATTAATCATCATCAATATTGTAAGAGAAGACCAGAATCTATCGATTTATTTGTGGTTGATTGAATATTTTGGATCTCTATAATCCGACCCAAGTACCCTGTTGGCTATGCACATGTGCGGATTTTCTTTTTCGCTCAACGTCTCACGAAATTGCCATTATTTTGTCTCGTTACATGATTGTTGTATCAAAGTGCCATTGTACATTAGTATTAGGCAAACTTGATTATTACGAAAACGCCACATTGCATTTGAATTACGTATGTTCATAACCCGTTTTATTCAATAATGGATAGATGCCTTGACTAAATCATGTAATTGTCTCCGGACAAGCTAGCTTGCTATGGTCCCCGCATTTGGGATTTATTTCTTTTAGCAATCGTTTCTTGTCATTCTAAGCATTCCGGTTTTCCATTGTAATACTATATTAATATCTCGCTGACCACGTGAATAAATTACATGCAAATAAGGCCTAGCCAGATAAGGGAAAACGGGAATGTGTACTTGTTTCGAAGATATGTAAACATGGAAAGCCTGTTACGTTTGAAATATTCGACATTCAAGACTAATCTTGTAAGGCTTCTGTAAATGACATTATTCGACGCTTTTTGTATAGTTGGCTTTACTATAAAGAGGAAACAAATGGGGGCAATGTTACAAGTTTTGTCTCGTTTCAACCGCTCAATTCATAGACTTGCTCTCTGACAATTACCAGTCTCATTGTTTTATTGCCATAGAATCCAACCCCATCAATTCTCATCAACCAGCCCACATACACACACATAAAAATGTTAAGCACCATCGCGATTGTAATCGATGATATCTGTTAAGCTTGCCAATTTTGACCCCTGACATCTTTGCTGTAGTGTCATGTTCACTTTGTCTGCTTTTGCTGCAAGCATTCCCTTATTTGGGCTCGGGTGAAGTACACAGACGTTGAACCGCCTGTTATCGTTACATTGTTGTTCAAAATATACACTTGATGATAATATGCTTACCTTTTCTTTATTGGCTTATGTTCTCGCTTTGGACGTGTGCAACATTAATAAAGTCGGGACTATAGGGGGATGTGTCACACACAAACATGAAAATGGGAATTCATAGCCAATCGCAACCTGTTAGCCCCCTATTTATTGTCAGCGCGAGGCACTATAATTTGCAGAATACTAAATTTAATCCCGCCTTCGCGCGGCATATATCTCTCCTTTCCTATATCTCAGTAGTCAAACTTGTAACATAAGGAGTGATGCCGTCAGCTACTGTCGAAACAAATTTACCTGACTTGTGCGCAGTCCAGGCTACGACTGCTACAGACGTATCTGCTGGCATATCCGACACAATTAATATCACAAAAATTATCACCGAAAACCTCATCTCTGAAAAGCTCGCTGACAAGACCGTTATCGATTGTTCTTCTAATGCAACCAGCGGCACACCAAAGTCTCCATCGTTACCCACAAAAACAGCAAAACCAGAGAATTCTAATAATTCCGACAAGAACAAGCATCCTGATATTGAGAGGAAACCAAGTAAATCGAAACAAACATCAATTAAAGGTCTGCCAGGTGATGCAGCTATATCAACCTCATCACAAGCCAATTCTCGTACTTCCAAATTGACAAGGTCACCGTCGGGACGGTCCAAGGAGACTACAGTCGAACGCAGAACTTCGAGGCGAGACAAGAAAAATGCAACGGCAAAAAACTCGGACGCAAATAAATCTCGCACCAAGGCAGTAAAATCGCCAAACCCTGATGACAAGCAACAGACGTCATCGGAACGTTCCGTCAATACAACATCTGATGTCAGATCTACTACGCCTCCCAGTACTTCTCAGAGCAAGCAAGCTTCACGTCGCAAAACTGATACGCCGCCTCATTTGAATCTAGCATTCAAAACTGATCCCCAATCGAAAGAATCCAGTGGTCGTTCTCCTGCAGTGTCACCAAAGGTTAGGGAACTGCGCAAATCGGAGGCACTTCAGAACAAGTCTAGTGGCGATGAGTCGGCATCTGATCGTCGTAAGACGAGCAGTAGGTCAACTGGCAATACTACAACCGGGTTGGCCTCGAAACGTCGTCATTGGTCAGTCGCCAGACATGCAATCAAGACCACTGCAGCTGTAAGATCCAAGGGAGAAAGTGTCGACAAAGAGTTGCTCAAAAGATTAGAACAGGAGAATTCGCAATTACCGCCACAGGTAGGGGGGGTGGGGAAACAGGTTTTTTTTCCTAAACGTGTTTAAATCACATGTCCCATGACTAACCGTGTTGATCAAATTTTAAACAGAATTCGACGCAATTTTTGCTCGCACGTCTCGAGCGACAGAATGAAATACTCGACAACGACCCAAAGTCAGTGTGCATTCAATCGAACGTTCTCAAGGCCAATTTCGAAACTGTACAATCTCTCATTGATGATACCAGTCCGACAGAAGAAGTATTTGAATACGATATTACCGCCGGTCCAGAAGATGACGATGCTAATACTGTCGATTGGGAATTTTGGACTGCCTTGATTCAAGATTATACGGCAGTTGCGACTAAACTCCCACACCTTCTTGCCGCAAAGCTGCAACAAGGCCTCCCGCCAAAGTTACGAGGTCTCATATGGCAATCCATGTGCCAAGCATCGTCTACATATCTGGAAACTATGTATTCACAGCTGCTTGAAGAATCGTCACCCTACGATCGAATCATTCAACGTGACCTTGCTCGTACCTTTCCAAATGTTGATTTATTCAAGAAAGAGGGTGGTGAAGGACAAACAAAGCTATGGAACATATTGAGAGCTTACAGTTTGTATGATCCTCTGGTCGGTTATTGTCAAGGATTGGGATTCTTGGTTGGACCACTCTTAATGCAAATGGACGAAGCGCAAGCCTTTGCCGTCTTTGTACGGCTTATGGAAACTTATGACATGCGATCCATGTTTACATTGAACATGGAAGGGCTTCAACTCCGTCTCTATCAGTTCTCTACTCTTTTGGGCCAAATACTTCCCAGGCTGCATGCTCATTTCCAGCTACACGGTGTTCATGCCGCGATGTTCGCTTCACAGTGGTTCTTGTCTCTCTTTGCCTATACCTATCCTTTGCCTCTAGTCCTTCGCATATACGACGTTGTCTTTGCTGAAGGTGCGCCCGAGACTATTATGCGGGTTGCCATTGCCTTGCTGAAAAAGAATGAAACGCAGCTGCTCGACTTTGGCGAATTCGAAGACTTGCTCGATTTCCTGACTACCAAGCTCTATGTAGCCTATGACGAAAAGCCAACCGGTTTAATAAAAGACGCAATGGCTTTGAGTTCGGTAATTACCAAAGTAAAGATGGATGAGTTATCAGAATCATACGTGAAAGAATTGGAAGACCAAAAGAAGCGTGCCGATGAGTTGGTTGCAGTACGATTTGGTGGTCGATTTGGAAGATCAAAGGAGAAAAAGGAAGAAAAGAAGTCAGAGAAGTCTACCAAGAAACGATGGTCTTTTGCCGCACTACCAAGTCGGTCTTCGGTTTCGGCGTCGGCATCATTATTGCAGCAAGCAGTATTTAGTGCAAGTGACATCTCAGCCCCGTCCTCAGATACAGAGTCAAATACTACGTCTCTCGTTGCTTCGACAAACGTGTCCAAGGAATCTACTGGCATTCTACATCAACAGATTGAGGATCTTGTCACGGCGCTTTCTCAACTTCAAAAAGAGCATGCCGAAGTCACAGATCAGCTTGTAGCCATTAAAATGGAAAAAATGGACCTCGTTAACGAGATAGAAACATTACGAAATCGTGTTAGAGAATACGAAAGAGGAAATAAACGCACATCCACTGCATCTTCACTGTTCTCTCTTGACTCGGCCATCGCATCCAACGAGGGCGATGCTTCCTCGCGACGGACTTCCGTTGGATCGGCATCCAGTTCTACAAACAACGTGGAATCCGACATTACTCCGCGCCAGTCTACCGAAGTACCAAAACCACGAAGCGTATCAGATGCAGATGCTGTAATGAAACCACGTCGCTCATCAGCGTCATCGTTCATGTCACTGTCTCGCTTGACATCGTCGTTCTCTTCCGCAGCATCCGACACGTCTTTTGTATCACGTCAGTCTTCTACCGACACAATAACTAGCACATCGGGTGTATGTGATGCTGACGGTACCGACGAACAGAGTTATCACATCGTCTGCCGGGGTGACTGTGAGAACGCTAGACGTGCCGAAGAACTTGAGCACATGTTGGCTGATCTCAAGCTACGTCTGGCGGAAAGTGAAAATGCCAGAGATGACATGAACTCTCAATTAGAAGGCTTGAACATGTTGATTAATGGGTTTACTGAAGAAGACGATCCTACAATGACGACCATATTGGCATCATCACCAGCTCCTGGAAAACGAGGATCTTTTGAAAAACGGGAATCCTATGAAAAACGAGGATTGAGAAATTCGATATCTAATTTCTTTACGGCTTAATTACATATCAGGTTTGCCACTGGCTGGCTTGTTCTTTCAAGGCGTTGTCCTTTCGTATACCCATTACTCTTATACGACTTTCCGACAAATTTTCAATAATTTCCGGCCTTTTAAAAAAAGTTAAAGGGGGAGATTTTCTCCCTCTTTTTGTAATATTTACTAAAAAGGGAAAAGACTAGTATCAAAAATATATTATTTGTAATTTTGTGTAAGAGTGTATATCAGTCTTTTTCCATATCTGTATTTGTAAAACGATTTCGGTTAATGGCTTGAGGGTCTCTTTGACTTAATATTCTATCTCTTTTGGCATTCCCCGCCTCCCCCCTTCTGCCCGATTTTCCCTTTTATTTATTTGTTTGTTATTCTGAATCTAGGTTTTTCTTTGTACTTTTTTTTTTATCAGGGATATGATTGGTATCTTTTTGGGTAATAGATATGGAATAAATATAAAAGTTTTTAAGACCATCGTAGTTATGTGGATTTGTTGACCGAGTTAGAGTATAATCAATTGATGAATCCATAGCATTGATCGCTATCATATCAATTGATTGTTTGTTGTGGAATTAAATTCACGTTTCGGATGTCTTTTCTTTGATCAAGAACCGTCTTCATTATATTGGCTTTCGGGAAGGCTTATTGATTAATCGTTCTTATTCGTGTAACATTAAAATGAAATCTAAAGAACGATCTCGAGTTTCTTGCACTTTTTAACCTTTAAGTAGTGCCGTAATTAGAAATTGGGCGAGAATTCGTAATGCGCTTCTTCTCGCAACCCATTGTGCTTTGCACGAACCTTTTGGCCTCACACCTGCGGAACAAAGAAGCGGTCACGCTTGTAAGGCGTTTGGAACGGATACAAATTGCAAGCTCCGGATAATGCTAAAAAGATAGTTGGAAACTGAATAAATTGCTTCAGACGCCAGGACACTCGCGTACGTATGAATGGTCTATATATAGAGTTATCATCACATTATATCGTGGTATTTGTTTCAATGAGTTGTTTCCTTTTGCTAATTCTCTTCATTTCTATAGATTTAAAATCTCGTTAATTGCTCTATAAGACAGAACGTTCTATTTGAAATTTTAATAATCATTCAAGTGTCGAAAGTGGGAGTATCAAGTACAAAGATGATGGGACTCGTTGGCTTTAACGAATCTGTACAGATTTTTTCGCTTTGCAATTCATGATCTATTTGGCACGTATCCGAATTTATTCAGACGAAAAGAGCGCAGACTTGGAAAAAATCGCGGGTCGGATCCACGAACGGATGATATACTAAAGAATGCTTTCTTCGATACTGACATTGAATAAACAACTTCAACCCAAGAACGATGGATTTATTACGTGCAACTAGCTAATATTTGCTCAGACACTCGTAAGAATAGTGCATACGAAACATTTTTGGCATATACGGTTGGCGCACTGGTGTACAGCAATTTGCTGTTAAATTAACACGGGGCCGTTAAGCTATGCAGCAATACATTCATTACTCAAGCGAAAACCACGGAATAATGTAGGACTTTTTTCCTTTAGTTTTTACAAAAGTTTCAGAGATTTTCTTCAATTGGGAAGATTTCGCGCACGTGTAAAATTTGCCTTTAATCGCATTTCTAGGATTCTTTCTTGCACTCTAGTCAAAAAGACTATCGTATAATAACATTATCCAACTTATATTGACATATTTAATTTATTTAACTGGAAGAGTAAGACTGTAAATTCTAATTCAAAGGAGCGGTTGAGTTACTAAATTGTAAGCAGTGAACGATGTTAATATTGTAAATTGACTTCATTTATAATCAATTGGTTTTGCCTTCATACCTGCAGCTGAATCCAAATCATGGCTATTTCTTGGTTTAGGCAAAGCTCCAGTAGGTAAGAGTGTGCTGGAATATTTACTTTCCTTTTCGAGACGTGATAAGGGTTTTACATCAGTATGGTAGATAGCATTCCACACGTTGTCACCAGATGTATCCTTTCTTACACCTATAATAAGCACGTCAATATCACTACAAAGTGTATCTGCATCAGGACGCTTATCAGGATCAGCATCACAACACCGCTCGGCAAGTTTCTTGTATTCCTCTGGCGCAGAATCAGGCATCGACGGTCGCAGTCCCTCACAAACACGTATCGCCAAACATTTGTCAAACGACCAATCTCTAAATGGTGGTTCACCAGTAGCAATCAAATACATAATGATACCAAATGAATACACATCCGATTTCTGAGTAAATTTGCAGGTATGAAAGACTTCCGGTGCAATAAAAGGCAAGACACCTCGAATGGTTGAATTTGACTCGCGTGAATTCACTGATTGTGAAAGACCAAGATCGCATATCAACGATTCTATTTCATTATCACTCGTATCGTCATTATGCATAACAACGTTTCCGCCATGGAGATCACAATGCACTAATCCCGCATAATGAATATGATACAGATTATATGCAATATACTGTAAATGCTGTAATTTATCCAACCATGTCAATTTATTAATATTTTGAACCAAATAAGACAAAAGGCCGCCATTGTTAGCATATTGCATAACAATCATGTAATCTTTTGTCTTTGGGTCTTGCGTGACTCCATAAATGTCAAGGAATACATTACACTTGGCATGATTTCTGAACTATTAAATAAATAAATACAGCATCAAATTAAATACCACATTAATTAATACGACCAATCATTGCTTACCTCGGAAATAAATAATTCCGGCATTTCATCAAAATTTTTAAACCGTTTGAGTACAACAGTTTGTTGCATATCCCGTACTTCTGAATACTTTTTATACTTGGCAGTATAAACTGTTCCGTAACCACCAAATCCGATCTCTTTGAGTTCATCAAAGTCGCTATATTGCATGTATTCAACAAGTTTGTTGTTTCGTATGAAACTGTCCAGTATTGCGTATACGTCGTAATAGAAAACTAAGTAATATTCCCGAGTAAATGGCTCTTGAGTGGTTCCAATTATCCAAATATTATCGGGTGTTAATATCGTCGGGTATTCCTTAGTTAACTATTTTGAGTAAACGTTATAGCATTGGTCAATTAACGCATGATACGCACTTATCGATTGCGTAAAATAATTTACCTGATGGAAATTATCGGCTTGTTCGTCAACTTTTTTTTTGAGTGTTACACGGGTCAATTCATTCCATTCCGCTATATGCGTGCATCCATGGCGTAATGGCGTCATCTCTTGTACATTTGTTAATAGAGAATATTCTATCCATTGTAT